ACACCTCAACGCCTTTGCCACAAAGACCCTCCGAAGCAGCCCCGAAAGACCCCGGACCTCAACCGCCCTGAACGGAAGGGGCCCGGACCGCTCCCTGCACAGACAACAAACCCAAACCACCCCACAAAACGATCTAACCTAAAGCCCAGAGAGGTTGAGAGAGAGAGAGAGAGAGAGAGAGAGGGAGCGATACAGGGAGAGAGAAAGAGAGAGCACAGCCTTTAGCAGTAGATCGCAATGAGCCCTCTTGGGGATAATGGCTTTGTCAATGTATTTTGAGCAGCCACGGTAGCTCAGAATTCGGTGTGTGATCAATGACGACTGGGCATCACAATTATAACATATGGAAACGACATAAGGACACATTGTTTATAGGGTTTAAGGGTTTAGGTTTTGGGGTTTAGGGGGCTGTAAGGATCCATAAGTAGGCCCAGGGGGCTGCGTCAAGACGCTCGGCTCCTGCTCTGCGTACAACACGTTAAGTTTGTCCAACTGGGCAAGGTGTTCAAACATGTCAGTCGGCTTGATCCACGGCAGATTCTGTTTCGCATCGCCAACATCCACATAGGAGATGGGAACATCAAGAGCCAGACCATATTCTTTGAACCTTAATTATACTTGTCAAGGGTTTGGGTCCATGTAGAGTATACAGCATCAAGATGGATGTGAAGACGCAGAACCGACGGCTATTTGCAACTGAGCTGCAGTTCATGACCTTTGTCCTCCAATCTATTCTCTGATGTACGTGCCAGACCATCCAACACTGCATCTTTGGCACGGGCTGATGCACAGGTAGCCCGAGCGAAGCCAGAGACTGTCTTTCCAGTGGCCTAAGTGCACATACAAGCTCGGCCAGCGTACAAGTTTAAAACACGTGGTTGCAGAAACCGGTGCAAGAACTGATCAGCATTCGAGCAATAGATTGATTTTGCGACACAGTGAGCACTCTCCCCACTCACATGGGCTTTGGATCCCCGGTCGAATTATTGAACGACCTTCACAGATACATAGACGAAGTAAGGGCCATCAAAATGATCCGGACCCCCGCCTCCGAGGCTTTCGTTCAAGCAGCCTTGTCGGCCTTTGTACAATCTAATGAGATGAGCTTCAATGCACTTGCAAATCAGGCTCGAGGCTGATACGTGTAACAAATGCATGTGCTGGTATCCATCCTTCAAGTACCCCTGCACTCTCTCATAAGGATCATGGGTGAAACCGACTTTGTAAGCCACCACGGAAACACCAGTGAGAACCTGAGTTGTCCAGGCGCTGTAGTTTCTGCTGCTAGAACGATAAGCACCATAAGCAATATATGCATGCAGTGCATAAGGCAAGAGGCGACATCCATCATCTGCTCCGCAGCACGAAAGACTGCGCCCGGCGACTTCGGCAAGGAACGGTCGGGAAGCGCAATCTTGAAGATCGTTCTGCATGATAAGAGTTGATGCCACAGTTCGTTTAGCCGGGGCAGGGCAAGGATCTCGGCATCAAAATACTTGTGATGCTTCCAATGCACAGCAGGTACAGCTTGTAGGCCTGTAGACGTCGGTGATATCATTGCATGTCAACAAGAATAAGTAACTAGTATAGCAATGCATGGGTTCCAAGGATGCAAGCACGACAAAAAAAATAAGCCTTGTTGCTGCTGGCATGCTTCTCGAGGTCCCAGGTGTTCAAGTCTCGGAGAGGCCTGTCAGGTCAAAGGTTTTTTGCAGTGAGTTCAATTCCGACAGCAAGACCGAGAGACCTAGCTCATTATATTCTGTCAAGGAGCTCATACTTCGGTAAAAGCAAAAGCTCGTCCAGCCATTCATCCATGGCAGGCTCTAAGTTTGGGCTAGGCGGCAGTGATTTCTGATATCTAAAGTCCAGTCCATTCGATTATTGACCAAGCAATTAACAGCATGGGAGTGCACATGCGAAGCTCGAAGTTCATAGCCCAAACTGCTGCAAAACTCGATTGAAAGACTTCTTGGCAATCAAGCAGACGTCATATGCTCAGGTATATGATGATCTGGGGTTCTGGCTCCTCTCACAAGCTGCTTCGCTGCTTCTTGGCCCATCCTCCCACATCGACCTGGCAATATAAGGCTTATATAGTTAATTAGGGTTATATATAATTGGGTTTAGGGCTTTATTTTGGGTTCCCAGAGAGAGCCTCAGTCGAATGTCGGGTTTAGGGTTTAGGGTTTTATAGGGTTTAGGGTTTTATAGGGTTTAGGGTTTTAGGCTTTGTAGGGTTTATAGGATTTATATAGGGTTTATAGGGTTTAGGGTTTCGGGTTTAAGGGGTTTAGGGTTTATAGGGTTTATAGGGTATTGTACATTTATAAACATCAAAAGTTTGGTTTGCAGGGTCCCGGGCTTCGCGCTAATTTGCAAGCAGACCTGCATCCCTACACCGGATTGTGTTCAATCCTATTTGGAGGATACACGACTTGGAAGCAAAACAATCTTATGTAACATTTCATTTAAGGGCTTGTGATGATGGCACGATCACGATAATATTGCGGTGGACCTTGGTAAAAACATCACCGATTTCAGCTCAGGCTGAACGACTTGACTAAGGCCGAAGGGGTTTATATGGAACTATATAGTATATAATTATATAAGATTTCACCGAATTTACATAGGACTTCCAGGGGTTCTATGTTTATATCGGGGATGTAACGTCGTACATACACACATACACCCACGTCCCAAACCCGATACATGTCTAATCAAATCAACGATGCATGCAGCAATTATTTTTGTATACGGCTTATGCAGGGTTTATGATATATATATATATGTATATATATATATAGATATAGGGTTTAGGGAAGCCCTAAACCCTAAACCCTATAAACCCTATAAACCCTAAACCCTATAAACCCTATAAACCCTATAAACCCAAAACCCAAAACCCAAAACCCTACAAACCCTAAACCCTATAAACCCTGAACCCTATAAACCCAAAACCCAAGACCCTAAACCCTATATATATATATATATGAACCCTATGAACCCTATAAACCCTAAACCCTATCACCAGAAGGCACGGATTTTGGCGCTGCCGTCGTGAGTCTCCCGAGGGTTCTGTCATCCGATCACCTATCGGACTTCAGCCATTCCCTCACAGTCGATGGCCCGATGCTCAAAACTTCTATAAAGCAGGAACACCATCCTCGAGAACATGCACCATGCAGTATTCTGCCGGCTAGCCAACGAAATCGTACACTCGCAAACATTCAGATGTGTTCCTCTGCACGAAAACCCATCTAGGCTTTAGCCTTGGATTTACTCTTAGCTTTCGGGGCCTTCTTAGGATTGGCCTTAGCAGCCACAGTCCCAGGCCCCGACCCAGGCCCAGGCTTGCCCGACTCAGCTTTTGGGCCGCTCTTTTTAGCCTCTGCCAGCGAAGGCGCCACTTTGCTCTCCAAAGAGACACACTGGCATGCCCTTGGTTGGTGATGCAGGCTCGGGGATCAAGATAGAGCCCAACCGAAGTAAAACGTTAATTGAGGCCAGAGTCAAAACCGAAGCCGTGTCGATGGCAATCGCGATCTCATCCTTCAGCCTCAGAAACAACACGTGCCATCATAAACTGATCGTTATACTGGTTGCTTGATGCCTGCATTGATTCAGACTACAGAATGCTACCGGGAAGCTTGTCCGTAACACGAATGTTCGAGGTGGCCTTGAGCATTGAAATTTTGTCGTAGTGCTGCTCCATAGCATCGGCGTGCTTCAGCAAAGACTCGGCATGCCTCCGGAGGTGTAGTATCTCATGCCATCAGACATACTAAGTTGAACATATACAGCGTGACAGAGAGTCCTGCCTTTTCTGAACATCACTCATGTCACAGCTTTGCAAGAAGGCGGCATTCTCGCGAAGCTTGTTGGTCTTGGTCAAAATCTCATGCCATGCCCGTTCCAGGGCCGGCCGAGGATCCTTAGAAGGATAGAGTTCTATATGGTCATAAAATGAGCGACACCATGTAATTATCAATCTACAGTGGCCAGGCGACATCCGATGACGTCCCTCCACCAACGTGGCCCGGATTTGCATTGTTGCCACCGTTATCGAAGCTGAGGTTAGGGCTCGGCATCTGGTCGGCCTGCCCCGTTTCTTCATGCTCAATCTTTTCATTGTCTTTGTGCACCAACTGCCCCGACCACTTGGTTTCCACCCAGTGCTGGATAATCGACTCATCGTACTTCCATTTCCTGGCTTGGAAAATTCAGGATTTGCGATTCAGGGTTCAGGAAGAGCTGGGGTTATAAAGCGATTATGGGGGTCTAAGGTGTTAATTGTCTCTATCTATCTATCTATCTATNNCATACATACATACATACATACACGGCTTACGGACTTTGGGTTTCAGGGCTTAGGGCTTCTAGGGTCTAGCAGGGTTTACATATAGGGCTCGGGGTTTTGTAGGGTTTTGCAATTGTAAGTCCAGCTGACTCCAAAGGTCGCGAATCAAAGCGGGACCCGAAGCCTCCATATATATATATAGTGGTTTAGGGGTTTAGAAGTTTAGGGTTTTCAGGATTTCTTCGGGGTTAGAATGGAGGGGCGAGTTTTGGGCTTATATAGAGGTTGCGGCTTCAAGGCCTTCTAGGGCCTCTACCGGGTTTAGGATCGATCGGGGGCTTTATTGGATCGCATGAAGTAAAGCGGCCGCTGCAGCTGGGCCGTGTTCTTGCCGGTGTAGTCCACGATCTTCTTGATTACCCTCCTCAGATTGCAGAATCTGTAGCCTACGTAATAATATTTGATGATGCATATAGGACTGTATAGGTCATCAAAGGCACACATCATAGCCCAGCTTGTCCTTCATCTCCTGCTCCGTGTACCAGCCGGCATCCACGGTGAGGCTCTTCTCTTTCTCCGTGGTGACATACTTCTTCATCTTTATGGCGAACTGCTTCTGGCAGGGATCGAGAGTAGAGCACACATGATGACATATGCACACATTTTAAGGTCAAACTAATGAGTGGGTAACTCTGGTTGTCCTAGCCTGGTCGAACTTCGCTTCCACCATCAGCTTGGCAAGGTTTTTCCGATTGGCCACATCTTGATACGCTTCCAGGGCCTGCTCTCCGCCCGGGACTTTCCCCGATTTTCTCCTTCTGCACAACCGTCGTAGCCGCTGTTTCAGGGCTTCGAGGCTGAGAACCTTAGGTATTGCATAGCTTCCCTGGTTTAGAAAACGTAGCGATCCTGCGCTCTGTAACCACATTCTGCTTTGGCGCTTTCCCCGTCTTCGGGCAGTAAACTTGACCCAGACCCCAATCATCCGGATCATCACCTTGATCGTCACCCTTCTCGTCGTCGTCCTCGTCGGAGCTGTTCCCAGGCTCAACCGCCTCCTTTGCTGGTGGCGGATGCGAGGATGCTGTCGGCGTCGGCGCTGCATCCGCTGGCTTGCCACCCTGAAGCAAGCTGATCTTCCGGTTCAACTCACTCTGCTTTTGCAACAGCATTTGCTGCTCTCGCTGAAGCTCAGCCAGTGCTGCTGTTTCCTTGGCTTTAATTCGGCTACAGGTCACACGATTCTTAAACTGCAGCATGCACAAGCACAGCTGGACATCCAAGGGGCTGCATCAGAAGTGGCATGGATGCTGCCCGGCTCTCTCTTCACAGAGGGCTTCGGGGCTTTGGTGGTTGGCTTTGGGAAAGACTTGTCGGTTCTCACCGAGGAAGCGGGGCTTGCCGTCCTAATCATAGCTGCAACTGGAGTAGTAGGAGCCGAGGAGGCCGGAGTGCTGGGGACCCGTTGGGTCTCAGCGAAGAGCGGGTCCAGGGTCTTGCTCGTCTCCTTGCTTGAGATGGATAGCAATGAAGGGAAGTTAAGGGCTACAGGGTTTAGGATTTATATAGGGTTTAGGGTTTATATAGGGTTTAGGGTTTATATAGGGTTTAGGGTTTATAGGGTTTAGGGCTGGATAGCAATGAAGGGAAGTTACGGGCTATAGGGCTATATAGGGTTTTCGAAGGCGCAATAGCAGAACTCATAATCTCATCCCGATTGCACAAAGATCTGACATCATTTCGTTGTTTAATTTGGGTTGCCAATTCTACCATCTAGGCACACTACCTCTGTCATCAAAGCAGATAAGACCCCTTGGTAGTGAACCCATCGAATTGAAGGCTAGACTTTGCAGGGTCCAATTATAAAAGTGAAGCTCAATGGTTTTATGTTGGACAGTAGCAATCGCCTTCAGCTTCGGCTTCTTGGCCGCTGGGCCTTCGGGATCCGAGGCCCCATCGATGAAGCCACGTAGCTCCTAGGAACGACATACGTTAATTGTACATGCAGCTTCCTCGACAAAGGCCCCACCCCAGCCTTGATCCGGTTCTGGAGCTCTGTCTCGCTTGGAGTCGAGGACATCAGCCGCGCTCCTTTCTCCAGGTCCGAGCAGGACCACAACTTCGAGCCCAGATTCATCTGTCATGAGCCTCGCGAGTTTATCGTTGTCATGCGACACTGCATGCATCTAGTGCACAGAGCATTCAGTCGATGGGACATTTTTCCTCACCCTCACCCCGGCTCATTGTCTCAGAATTGTCTCTCGTACATCTCCTTAGCTAGCGATAAGGGTTTACAGGGTTAGTTTGATCCCATTGTATATACCTTGCAGGAGCATTCTAGTGCTGCCCCGGGTCTTCATACCTGCTCGTCTCAATGAAGTACTGCTTGATCTGTGGATACCTGAGATCGTACAGAGACAAGGCTAGTCGAGTGTTTGGGGTGTTTCGAGTTCAACAATAGTAGATTCATTAAAATCATTATATATATATATAGTACTTTCTTATAGGGGCTGTTTAAAGTTGCGTATTGGTTGGCTGCACTAGAAGCATGTGCATATGACTGTGCCTATGTAAAGCCTGTATATGCTACCATTAAGCATCCCCCAAGCCATGTAACACCTTGAACACCGACTTAATTAAGTTTATACACTAAAACCGAAACCTATAGATCTGGCAACAGGACAAGCCGCTCCGGGTGCACTCTGCTCTTCGAGAACCTCATCAAGTGCTCGATCTTGGACCTGGGCCACGGCCGAATGGGGTTTGTTAATATATAGGGTTTATAGGATTTGTAGGGCTTCGATCAGGTAGGGTTATATGCGGGGCTGTGTAGATATATACATACATACATACATACATACAGACAGACAGACAGACAGACAGACAGACATACATACATAATGCATATAATACATGCATACACACATACATACATACATACATACATACATACATACATATATAAGTTAAGTATAAAAGGGGTTTAGGGTTTATAGGGCTTATTGGGTTTAGGGCTTTATTTGCTTATATACGATACATATCCACCGGCCCGATATACCCGACAACCTTTAAACCCTCAACACTACAAACCCTAAACCCCTGCACCCTATATAGTGGTTTAATTAGGTTGTCGGATCCGAACACCGGTTTTGAGCGGGCAAGGTTTTCGGCGTCTAGGGTTCAAAGGACCTATATGAGGCAGGCCTGAGTATCGAAATCCCTGGCTCTCACGGTGCCAATGGAAACTTAAACAACTCCGGCCAAACTAAACCCAATCAAAACCCCCAGCCCTGAAAGCCTCAACTCACATCCTACATAACTCCCTTATCCCAGAAACCCTGCCTGTTAGTTCATACAGGGTTTGTACGACTTCCTAGGTTTATATAGATTTGGGAACCAGCAGGAGCCAAAGAGACAAGCTAGAGAATTTCGAGGTTTGAGTGGGGCTTAGGAGGGTTTAGGATTTCTGCGTATGTGTGTATACATGCACGCATGGGGCTATATCGGCTTCTCTGGAGATGGAAGGCCTCGGCAAGCTATCGGGCTTCGAAGCGTTCACAACTATATAATGCCAATTAACACGATAGGATCGTACAGCCTTGCAAGGTCTATGCTTCCAGGTCCACAAGACGATGCTGCAAATCCCAAGCATTGATCTGAACTCAAGCAACTCTATGTGAAGTTCTCAATCACCCCCAATTAAAGAGCAAGCCTTCTCACCCCTTTGGAATCTTTGGAAGAGCGCTAGCTGCTAGCTTCATGTATAACACGAACAACCAAGGCTCATCTCCATGTTCGGGAAGCGCTCCTGGATCTCCTCCTTGACGAGCCAGCGAAACTCGACCTGCATGGGTGGTTTGCACCGAACAGGAAGCTTCAAATTATGGGTAAACCCGGGCTGGCCTTCTCATAGACCCCAGCTGGAAACGTCGTGTGCATGTCCTGCCGGCAGGACTATTCGGGGACGTACATATGGGATAACGGGCTTGGAGGTGCGGTCCTCGGGGATCTCGATGGTTCAGAATCGAAGAGCTTCTAGAGGGCCAGGCCAATGTCCTGCCGGCACGACTATATAATTAGAATGATATAGACATACGTGCGGGATAACAGGATGCGAGGCGCAGTCCTTAATGGGCCGGGATGAATGTTCCAGGATCGAAGAGCTTCTACAGGGGCAGGTCAATGTCCTGCCGGCACGACTACATAAGGACGTACGTACGGGATACAAGGTTTCGAGGTGCAGTCCTTGGGGATCGATGTTCCAGGATCGAAGAGCTACCAGAGCGGGGCAAAACGGGCTGCGCACAAAAAGTAAGCGGTACGCTCAAAAAGTAAGCGAGTACGGGTAAATGTCGACATCTGAGTACGCCTTTTTTTCACCATAATGGTGACATAGTTCGGGTTGGGTACGGGTACGGTTTTGGGTACGGCTTTGTTTTCACCATATTTGTCGATATTTGGGCCCAGTACGGGCCAGTACGCTTTTGTATCTTCGAAAAAAAGTATACGTTTTCTATTCATGTAGAATCTACAGACGGCGGGCTTGCTGACGATCAGCTTGGGATTTGGAGACGAACAATCGGGGGCCTTGCTGAGTTGATCCTAGTCTACGGGCACTACATGCCTGGCCATCGAGAGTGCTGCTTGGAGGTTTGGAGCCTCTATATAGAGAGCCTGAACCATCCCCGTATTGCCTATAATCACACCCAAAAGAGCCTTGCGTAGTAAGCCCTCGGGTCCATTATCCATCAAGACCCCTTTAGAACCCTGCAGGTTTTGGAAAAATCTTTGTAGGGTTTTGGGGAATTCGGGGAGGTGCTTCGGAAGAAAGATGCACAATCGTAGGTGCAGAAAGACCTGTTTGGCGTTCGGGATAACCTAGCAGAGCCGGTGCATATAGGCTATATATAGCCCAGGAAATTAAATACATATTTCTATATAGTTATGATCTATAATATCATCCCGTAGTCAGCTAACCTCGGCGAAGAATCTATTACAATTTAATTAATGTGTGAGACCATGAAATCCTGCTAGTGAACTCTTATATAGTAACCCTTCTGGAAGCCTCTGAATTTCAAAGCGAAGCTCTGCGCCTCCTCCCTTTGCCTGGCAGACCCGAATAAAACCCTGAAGTCATTCCTTTCGGGCCTGTTTATAGGGTTTAGGTTTTGCGGGTTTAGGTCTTAATTGGGATCGGATATATATATATATATGGTTCAGGATTTGGGAGGTTTAGAAGCATATAGTAGGCGGGGGTTGCAGGGTTCGACCTATGGCCTATATGGCCTAATGACACTTATACACTTTCTAGCTGCGGTTAGTTGACTGAAGTCAGCCGAGCAAACCTCCTAATTTTCATGACAGAGGAAGATCGGTCCATCCAGCTCCACTGTGCTCAGCGGCTAGTGCCACTCGGAAATGCAACAGCTGTGTAATTGATCTACATCTATGCACTTATACTATTAAATTTTGCATTTCCCGACGACTGCTACTGCTACTTAGGCTGCTAGCCGGGTAGGTAGCAAA